AAGGACAGGTTTATGTGTTTTAATAAAGGTGGCTTCCAAAATATGGAGATGAAAGATCAACGTTATATCTTAAGATTTGTGCAAGAACTCGGCTAACAGATGTTTCCACATATAAAAGATATCTTCAAGTTTGTACACCAAAAAAACTTTCCAAACGTGTGGATGTTTTAATTCATTCATGTGGATTACCTATAAAACAAAACTTTTCATTCAGATATAGCAATTATGGAGATATCATCAGTAAATTATGCAAATTTACATGATTGAAGACTTGAACCTTTGTTTGCCAGACAAAACATTGAAGGTCAAAATCTACCCTTTGTTACATCCCTATCCAGTGGTTAGCCCTTGTGTAACTTTGCATGAATTTCAACAACAAAAAAGTGTCCTTATGGCTATTTGACAATAGCTTTTTCTCTCTTTTTTTTTTTCCCCTCCCATTTTTAAACTTTCAAATTTGAGTTGACTCATATGGTTAGTTTTTTTTTTGTGTTTCAAAACATTTTACACTGGCTACATGGAATATATGCTCAAAATTTTCCAGAAGGTGTATAAACGATGTTTGCTAGTATCGTAAATATTTGTACATTTTATACATGTATCTTTTGTAAATAGTGAAGAAAGTTCTTATTTTATCAAATTTGTTATATACCCATCCTATATTAAATAAAAGTATCTTTACTTTAATAATGTATGCACTTTTAATGTATTTAGTTATGTGCTGGCATATATATATGTATGTATATACATGCATTTATATTCAACTTTATATTGATATGTTGGGTTCCAGCTACAAGTAGAAAACATGTTTCATGAGGACGATGAGCAGCAAGCTGAGGACAACACATACTGTGAGATTTGTGGTATGGCCGATCGTGAAGACAGACTATTATTGTGTGATGCTTGTGATTTTGGATATCATTGTGAATGTTTAGATCCCCCATTAGAAGAAGTTCCTGTTGAGGAATGGTTTTGTCCAGATTGTTTGCCAACTGTAGAAGCTAACCATCAGTGTAAGTTCCTTGTTTTTTTTGGAATGGGTTGGTTATTTCCTTACTTTGTAGATAAACAGCATTTTGTATAAGTTGAGTTTTCCCACAAAGTATACAAGTTATTTATTTTTAATTTATTAGAGATAGGCATAATTTCTGTATCTAACTTCATAGTGTAATGGTAAAGCTAAATTCACCTGTGCTATAATAATGTTATGTGTTTGTTTGATGTCTATCATTTTTTACCTTTGATAAGATTGCTAACAGTTGATAAAAATTTTTGATCATTTAGAACTGTGGCTAAAGTCTTACATGTGTTGGAAAGATCCTGTTTTAGATATCGAATGGTTGTTAACGATGCTTGTAGTAAAACTATATTTTTTATAGTTATGGCTGGTCAGGGTAATGAGATTGTTGTGCTTTTGTTTGTCAGAGTGTTGAATTTGATGTATATTATATTGATAGTGTGACTATTTAAGTTAAGTAATATGAAGTAAGCAGTTTTTGCCATAGGGTAAAAAATAAACCTTTTTTTTTTTTAACCACTTGTTCAGACAACCAACCAGTATAACATATTTAACCATCTTCCTGATATGCCTGGTACAAAATAAGTAAAAGGAATGTTTTTGAAAACATTATCCATATATATATTACCAGATTTTTTTTACAACAAGCCGTGGTTAGTAGGTTATCCTTTCTTGTTATACTGCTATTGCAAATTTAATTTTTCTAAAATAAATCTCACTGAAAACTTACAAAAATGATTATTATGTTCAAGTTGATTCCATACTCTATTTATTTTATATATATATATATATATATATAGAAATAGAGTTTCCTTTAAGTATAAATTCATTTTCATCAAGGCACTTGCCAAAGTAATATTGTTCACTAGCCAGATGTAAGAATTTGACATATCTTTATGTATAGCAATTATTAAAGGTGCAATGCAATTTTAAGGATTTAATTCTTAGAAAGGGACTTATAGCAAGTCTAATTAACTAAATATTTAAAATTCACATTTCTTTTTAAAAACCATAAAACACAATCATGTTTTAAAAAATATACATTTTCCACGAAAACATCATTTGAATTAATAAGGAGGTAGGGGATAAGTAACAACTATATAATTTGCAAATTTTACATTCTCAATTATCAAACATTGATCACAGATGATTTTTATTTTTTACTTTTTATTGTTAGTAGGAAATTTATTGGCTCTGACAACAGTTTGGATGGGTAGTAGATAAATCATTGAAAGTTTAAACATTTAAATATTAACTAAGCATGAAACATTTGACCATCATGAAAATGTTCATGTCAAGTTATGAGTCACTCTTCAGTAGTTATTTCACATATGCACATTGTTTTAGATTCAGTCTGTGAATTTCACCTCCTAGTTCCCATCATGCTTTAACTTACAAGATTCAAAATCACATTATATACTTCTTTAAGTTGAAATAAGTGCAATAAGTTGAAATAAGTGAACTCAAAACATTAAAATGCAGATTGTGCTCTGCAGAGCTTTGTTACAGTGACAGTTCAGGATCTATGCTGATTCACTTTTGTATGGAAGCACTTTTGCTAATATAATAAATTGACATTGGTTTGCTGTCTGTTGAAACATTTAGTATGTTCCCTAAATAAAACCTAAATAAAATTTCACTATGATTATAAATCATTGTTTGTCAGTTTTCTGGTTCATTTGAAAATATAGCATCCTGTACCAACTGTGACTGTTCCTATGCTGTATTGAGGCACAGAGGATTTAAATTCCAGACAACCAACTATGCAAGTCTGTACTTGTAGTGCACTCAGACAAAGATAACAGGCTTGATCATTGGGATGATCACAACTGGTATGCAAAAAATGTTTTTCTTGTAGGATACCGGATTTAGAAAGTTAATAGGTTTCATTGAGCTTGGTTATAGAATTTCATATCAACAGTCCATTACAGTGTTCATTTAGAACATTTACAAAGATTGTTGTATATTGATAAAGGCAAAACTAATTGAAGCCTCCTATGTGGCAGTCACAACAGACTGCTGGACTTGATTAGAACTGAATCATATATAACTAACTTGTCAGTATTTTCATGGCAGAGAATTAAAAAACTAGATTAATGTCCGTTTCGAAATGGATCGATAGTGCATCAAAAGTCAGTATTCATTTGCCTAATAATGCAACTAAAATTACAAATGAGTATCTATGACTGCTTTACACATACACTGCAGCTTGCAACCAACAGTGGATTTATAGTGACTATAACCTTTGATTGTATTATTGGAATGTGCACTAAATGAGTGTCATAGTTTCACCACAGTTCCATTACAACAAAGCTAAACAGGAAAAGCAATTACAAATAAGTCTTCCATAACAAAACCTTGTCCAATACTGCAAAACAATGTGAAATTCAATACATAACATGTTAGTGTGCGTGGTAGAATAGCTGTGGGCTTTAAGCACTGTTTTCTCAAACCACTTTGTTACCAAACTAAATGATGTCCATATTTTAGAACTTCAGGATGAATACTGATGAGTCTTTCAAGAAACTGCCTGTATCTGGGAGTCTTTACAGGCAACCACTATAGTGACTTCTAGTTACAAAGCAATTACAACATCAGTTGTGTACTGTCATTGTGAGTCCCAGTTATGTTTATTTGGCTGAAAACAGCACAAAAATGGTAAAGTTAGTTTTAAAGTCACTTGAAGAATGTTTTGGGCTTAATGAAGTTGGCATCGCCAGTAATACAGCTCTTGTCAGGACTATGTTAGATCCCAGACATGAGCAACTGAAATTTTTAACTTATGAAATATGCTGAGCAGTTAAACAGAATGTAGGAGAACTTTGTCAAGAAACAAAGGATAATTTAACTAAAAAAACAAAAACAGTAAATGCAATGATCAGGTGGATCATGTCACATGATATACAAAATATACTAAAAAATAAATTTCAAATATTTTGGTTCCTATTTAGGAATAAGTGGAAATTTTCTTCCTATTTCTTTGAATGGATTAAAACCATTTTAACACTAGAAAAAGTCAGCAGTTGCAGGCAGTAGTAATTAAAGTATTCATAAAAGTTGTTTGTTTCTAACATAATAATGTTGAAATTGCTTTATGCCCTTCAGAAAAATAGGGTTAAATTTTGTCCCCATTGCTAAATAAGGTGATTTAAATGTAAACAACTACAAAAAAGTAAATTAGGATATGAAGTTATAAAAACATCAAAACACAGCTATGTAAAACTATGTACACTACTAGCATAATAAAGTAAACATAACTTACATTCACTGTCGATTGAGGAGTTCGAAATGAATTACTCCTTTGATGCCCCACCAAATGCAAAATATCATTTTCTGAGGATGGAGTCCATGTTTTGGAGTCGGAAGTAGTTTTTGTGTAGTACTGAACCTTTTTTTTTTGATATTTAATATTTGCATAGAGAATCCATTTTTCATCACTGGTGACAATTCTGTCCAAAAATGGTTCACATGTGTTACGTGCGAAAAGAGACGAAGCAACGTTTACGCATTGGAAATGATGATCATCGGAGAGTTCGTGAGGCACTCAAACACCTTCTTTATGGAGTTT